CATGCCTAATCGTAATATTACAACATGCACATGGCAATTTGTCTTCAATCACATAAATCTTCCGTTGTTCCAAATTAAATTAATTGTCTTGTTTCGATTTGTACAATTATGAATACAGTTGTTGAAAAAGTAAACTAAAAAATAGGGTTGAGTTTTGAATATAAAAAAGTACTGCGTAATATGTTACGAAAAACTTATTTTTTGCAAATAAAAAGGAGCAAGACAATTACTTTAAAAAGGAGCAAGACAATTACATATTAAATGCAGAAATTATGATCCATCATTACTTATTTTTGAAAAAATAGAACAAATTAAAAAGTATGTGAAAGCAAAATACTTAAAAAGAGAAAAAAATTGTCAGGAGAGAAACCTAGGAAAAAACTAGAGAAACTTTAGTTCTGAAGTAGCTATAAATTAGAAAACCAGCTTATTTAATTTGTTAAAGTGAATTTTTTGCTTCCCCGTATAGTGGCTATATAGTTAATGGGTTTATGAGGTGATGGAGCTAGGCATTCTTTTTTTCATTGGAGGCACTATTAAAAGCACTATTTATACTCCGTAATTAAAGAATCACATGTGATTGGGGGCATGGGCCCCCATTAAGTACAAGTACATCTCTTGCCACTTAATTTAGAAAGTGCACGAAAATCGCTAATGACGCGACGTCGATTGTTTTGCACTTTTTGACTAGACTTGCACAAATATGGGCCGGTTCACCCGTCCACCCAGCCCGCCCACATAAATGACTAGACTTGGGCATATTTATCCACCGAGTCGAGCCAACATATGGACTAACTTGAGTTAGAGTGCAGGTCCGTTCGAGCCGATGAACTCGACTCGCTACATTTAGTATATATATATACACATAAGATCCGGTTGCAACCTTACGTGCACATCATACATAACTCGGATGTCACCACACAACACCAAGTTGATCGATCACACAATATTTTCTTTTGTGAAGTTGGCTTTGGCGATTGTGACTTGCGGTGATGGTCATCACCATCTCCACCAATGTGCTTTGAGTGAGGATGTTTTTTCTTATCGCCAGAGCACCACTATTCTTCCTTTCTTGGAGAAGGTTATGCATTATTCAACATGTTTTTTTATATATGTTTGTTAGGGTTAGAAGTGTCAACAAATAATAATAATAATAAACCAAACTTGGCAAATAATTAAAAAACAGTGCACCTAATGTTTACAAAACAGGGATCCATGATCCATTAAACAAAATAATTTGTGTTTGTATGTATAAATTGGTCATTCTCACAAAATTAAATGATTAACATTAGTTTAATTGTTTAAACATCATTGTGTTACTGTAATCACTATACCCGGCCCACGTATATGTTGTACTATATAATACATATTATATAATACATATTCTTTGAATGCTTTCAATGGAGAATTAGAAAGATAAATTAAATATCACTGTTTATGCAAAAAGCTTTCAATGAAGAATTAGAAAGATAAATTAAATATCACTGTTTATGCAAAAAATAAACTAGTCTAAAATGATATGAATCGAATAGGGATCGTACAAGAACAAATTATCTAAATTCAAATAGCAACTAATATGGAATATCTTGATCGTGAACATAATGCGTTTATAAAGTGTCAGTATGCTTCTTGTTGGTTGTTGGGATATTAGGGTCCGAGTACAGGCCATATATATCCCTAAGGAGCCCATGATCCACATAATCAGTCTAGCAGGTAATCCAGCTTGAATTGGGAACGGCAACACAGCTCAGCAGGCAGGGTCGTCTAATGAATTTGGAGGCCCCGATTCTAAATGTAAATTAAGGCATACATTAATATGAAAAGTTAAAAAAAATCTCAATCTAAATACGTAGACCGAAATCAATTGAATACACATTAAAAGAGAACCAAAAGAGTGAAAGGACCAACGAAAAAAATGATGGATCTATATTTTTCTTCCTTACTAAATGTATTTTATTGATTAGTATTAATATATAATATTACTATATAATACTAATAAATTTTAAAAATTTTGGGGCCCCGTAAATCCGGGGGCCCTGTTCTGGATAACCTATTGAACCCCCTAAAAAACGGTCCTGTCAGCAGGCATCACACTTGGGCCACTTTCCCCTCACTGAAGGCTGTCCATGATGGATCGTTCCAAGATTGTTGGCAGGAAACCACATAATTGACGGGAAGAAGATTTAATGCAAGACATATGAATGATTTTATGGTTGGAGACCGCCAACTCAACGTCGGCTACGTCACCCTCTTCAACTACTCACTCATATTATTGCCAACATTTATTTCATTGTATGGATTAACATATTTGTACTCACAACATTATACATCTCTCTAGCTCTTGTTATAGCCTTAACCTCTGCTTAAGATCGATTTTCCATTCGCCACTCGCGTTGTAATCTGACTGGTTAGTGAAATATAGTTGGATCATTGGTATTTTAATATTGTTGCTTCTTGCATCTTATTTGCCTTAATCAGCTAATTCTGTCGATAGTCAAAGGAGTGTGTTAGACCTTTGGACCTGAAGTAATAAGGGGTGTTTGGAACTAATTCTGCTTCTACTTCTTTTTTAAAGCAGAAGCAGAATCAGAATCAGTTTTCAGAAGCTGGTACCTCCAGCTTCTAAAAAAACTGATTGTAGGAGTAAATTAGAGCACCAGAATCACTTCTACATTTTCACCCAAACACTCCAACTTCTGCAATTCTGCTCCCTGAAGAAGCAGAAAGAGTTTCAAGAATCGGATCCAAACACCCATAAACCAACATCGGTAAAGATCACGTGTTACAAGAGAGTCCAACTAATCTATTTATTCGACAAGGTGCTCCACAAGCCGACTTCATAACTGCCCACCGAAATCATCGCCAGCTCCGTCAGATGATTTTAGTTGGGCATGTTTATCCCTTCTCCAAGTTTATACTTTTACTGTATCGTTCTTTGTCCGTCCGCCTCAGGCTTTCACATGGGTTCACATGAGACTTGGGCTAGCTTCCCTCTTCAATTAAATAATCTTGAGGCCCAATCATAAAAGTGATTCTCAAGTCCAACCATCACTTAACAATATTTCTGTAATATACATATCAGATCAGGAAGATAGGTTAAATAGTGTTAATACATGGCCAAAATGGTTAGAATCTAACAGTATAAGAATTACACTATCATGAACTTTCATTTTTTAAATATTACTCCATACTGTGTATTTAATTTTATTAGGATGGTAAACTTTTTTGAACAAAAAGTAAAAAAGACGGCTGTAGATACAAATTTAAGGAAAATAAAATCTATGGCGTTGTAGATCTTCATAGTCTTCATAGATAGTGCGCAATTATTAGAGTTCCAAATGGCAACATTTTATCTTCCAAGCATTTGATTTAGGTTTTAATGTAAAAAGCTATGTTTCAAGTGAAAATCCCTAAATAGAAGTAAAAAAACATTTTGAAATTTCATATAGAACTGCCATCTTTTTACATCCTAATTAACAGGAGTAGTTTCTGCCAAAGTTTTGCATTACCAAGCTTTAAACATGATAGTTTTATTTTTCAAACTTGAGAGAGATTACTCCTATTTAGGGACTAAAAACACGATGGGTCTGAAATTTCAAAACGTTTTTAATCTTATTTAGAACAATTTCTAAAGTTTCAATACCACTAGACCTTAGATGGACAAGTAATATGACCAAATACTTTTATGGGACACCAATATGACTGAACAACGGATTAGTTGCCTTAAATGTTTCATATATAGGGCCGATACATTTTTTTCAGATCGACTTTTACCCAAAATCAAATACGGAATCAAAGTAAAAAGTCATTTCAGTTTTAGTTTTTCGATTTATTACAAAACATGTTAGGCAAAAAAGTAAAGCCTATAACATAAAAAACAATGCAAACATACTAGCAAAAGTAAAAATAAAAATAAAATAAAAAATAGATTATATAAATATATCTTAAACACTTTTCAGTTTTTGGAATAAAATGTAAAGTAAAAATATACATTATCTATAAAAAAGGTATAGCATGTTTATTATTAAAAACTTTAATTCATTTTTTTTATCAAACATTTTTGTTGACGGTATAACTTACTTGGATAAAAGATTCTCAATGAAGATTGTAGTAGAAAGAAGTACTCTAATAAAAAAAACTAAAAGTTTCGATAAAACATTTTTTAAGACTTTTATTAATTAGCTTTTGAGTGCTTTCTTTATAGTTAATACATGTATCCGATTTTTTAAAATAATTATCAAAAAGGTTGGAAACTTTTAATAAATTACAGATACAACCCAAGAATATATGTACACACGAGTATACTAGAAAATTTAATACATAAATATTTATGATACGCCAATGCGATACGCTAGTCAAGTATACATGCTATATAGATGACAACAACGAAACAATTATATATGATTAGTAGGTTTCCTCTAGTTCTTTATCATGTTATTAAAAAGTATTTAATTTTATTTTGTAGAATGTTCTTAATACATATTTAAAAAACGTGAACAATTAATTTTACATTGTTTTAACTTTTATATTAGACTAAGATTTTTACAAGAGGATAAATGTAATGGTTTCTAGTAGGTTTATTCATCAGACAATAACATTTTTAGTAGAGTGGTTTAGGAGTTAGATATGAGCCATAAACAAAATTCTGCACATTACCAGGAAAAACCAATAAAAATAATTTGCATGAACTTAAAACAAAGTGTGTCATATTTATAGATACTAAAAACATATTTAAACCTAAAAACTATTAATAACCACTCCCTCCTGTTAAGATTGTCTCATTTTTCATTTCCGGTCCGTCCCGCTAAGATGATCACATATCAAATTTGGTAAAAATTGTGTGATTCTATATCCTTCGTACTTTATCAATGTAATATCAACCATATATCAACTCCTCATGTCCCAAATTTTCAATGTACTTTAGAATATACAAGTATATCTCACACACCTAGATAGAATCGTTTGAATAATAGTTTACAGATCAACTGATTGGGCCAACTCTACATTCTAACATGGAACCGAAGCCCACTAATTTCCTACCATTAATATTTGACTCCACCCCTGAAGACTCTGGTCTCCTATCCGCAATTCACCCTTCTCCTTCAGTCCTTCATCGTCCAACGAGGTACTTCATTTTCAACGCTCCATCTTCAATCACTCTTCGCTGCGTCAACTTCCATCCTTTTCAATATACTTGAACTATCCTATATGAACCAATTATTAAATAATTTTATCGTCATTAGTTTTTGGATGATCGAAATTTCAAATCAGATGCACTACTCTAAATATTATCTATCGGTCCTATATTTTCTCGAAAATGTGTATGTCACATCACTAATTTATACTCATACCTAACGATATGTGTAAGTGTGTATGCATATGTATATATATATATCTTTATATGTATATGTATGCATGCGTGTTGGTTTGTTTGTATGTATATGGTTGATACCAAATGAGAATTGAATTGATTTGTTAAGAATGAATTGAATTGAAGACAGAGCATACATTTTCTCATGTGGCTGTTTGGCATACTTGTATTGCTATGAATTTGGATTAATGGAGGTTGAATGAATAAAAAAGGTAAAAATAGTAATAAAAAAATCATGTTAGATATTAGGGATTAAAAGTGTAAAGGATTATAATAATAGCATTGTCATATAAGAAAGTTCCTAGCTCGCATTTTATTTTTTATAAGACAGGACAATTTTAAATAAAATATTAGGAGTAGCTATTACATTAGAATGTTTATGTTTCAGTTTTGATGTTTATCTATTAAGAAATTTGCAGTTTCTGTCAGATTTTATTTTCTGTTTTGACAAAAGAAAATTTTATGCAGAGATCTAGATTGTTGGTGTGGGAAAATATGAACAATTATTTGTTCATCTTATAGAGAAAAATTTGTGATTGGGAAGGGGGAGAGCTCATGCTTTATTATAATGTCAAATTTGTGATGGTTTGAGATTTTTAATAAGTGACTTTTTCTTCCAATTGTAAATAATGAGATGAAAATATGTTTATCTCGCTTTGCTGAAATAGTTGCAAATGGCCGCTTTTTAATATTGAAGACTCGAGTGTTATTCATATCGCTACAATAGTTGTTTGTCTTGTCATAAAACTTACCATCTTGCTAATTGTTGTCATCCTCTTTTCCTTTTCAAGAGTTACTTATATTATTATTCTCCTTCTTCTTAGTTGAATATGGCAGAAAAAAGTACACATGCGAGTGGACAAAAATCGGGAAACCCTAACTCTGTACTGAATGAAAGAATCCTGTCCTCTATGTCTCACAAATCTGTAGCTGCTCACCCATGGCATGACTTAGAGATTGGTATTAAACTATTAATTGCTACATTACTTATAAATTAGTCACTTTAGATCATAAAGCCAGTAATGCTCATATGTTCATTGTTATGAGGTTGCAGGTCCAGGTGCACCAGCAGTGTTTAATTGTGTATGTTTACTGGCAACTTCCTAATATCCGTTATTGGATACTAGTATTTGCTCGAATAGTGTTAATATAATGGTTGAACACTTGAACTGAGGTCTTTCTGTGTTGCAGGTTGTTGAAATAGGAAAGGGTGGAAAAGTTAAGTATGAACTTGATAAAAACAGTGGCCTTATCAAAGTGAGTTCCGTTTGTTTGACTTCCAAATAATCAATGAGGAAGCGGTCCAGCTCAACTGGCCGCCGACTCACTCTCCCATATGGGAGATCTTGGGTTTCCATGAAGGCAGTTTCAGCCCTCTTTACCCCAGGCCCCCACAGCCCCCTCCCCATGACCCCCGGGATAAAAAGAAGACTCCACTTGTCATTATGAGATTTTCATTATTTATTTTTGTGTTTCGAATTTTAGAAGACCAATGAAACAATACGCCTAATCATATGTAAAAGGAATATAAAATGATTAGCTCTGTATTTTCCAAGGTAAAGCTTAACATATGAAGTATTTTGCTTAGCATTTTTTTCGTGCCACTTTTCCCATTCCAAACATAGCTCAATTAACCATTTACTAAGATTTATTTGGCTGAATATGTTGACATATATGAAAGTAAAAACGTTAGGTAAATTTGGTTTCATCCAAATACATCAGCAGAATAAACTGATTAATGTTACCAAACGGGTCTTGGTTCAATTGCAACTGCAATGGTCACTTATGATTCTTCAAATGTATATGAGAAAAATAAATTACTCGATATAGAAAAAAGAGTCTTGTATGTAATACTCCCTCCATCCCTAAATAAAAGCATCTGTTTCCTTTTCGGGCCGTCCCTAAATAAAAGTTCCCTTTCCTTTTTTGGCAATCAAAACAGTGCAAAACAGTGCAAAACAGTGCCAAACAGCGTCCAAACAGTGCCAAACAGTACCAACCAAACCCACTTTCTTAAGATGTGTGTAAAATGAATGGATACTTTTATATAGGGACGGAGGGAGTACAAACGTGACTCTTTTATGGGAACGGAAAAAGTAATACCTCCATATTTGCAGTTTTAGTGGTGCAGCGTAGACAAAAATGGTTGATTATGTGGAATAAGTTTCCTTACATTTTGCAAGTGAGCTGGTAATGGAAATCATTGGACCATAATTTTAGATGTTATTATTATAGAATTTTTAAGATGTTAATTTTATGTTCTAAGCAAGAAATACAAAATAAGAGGTTTCGTTTCAAATTACCATTTGGTAACTTATCTTTGAGGATGATTTAAATGTGATGTGACAAACTAATATGTAATTCACATCTAGTCAAATGACGAAAACTGTACCTTCTTGTGCACACGTTTTGTATTTTTTTCTTGTGATTATTCATTAGTCCATCTTATCATAAACTAACTATTACTTTACTGTTAGGTGGATAGAGTCCTTTACTCATCTGTGGTTTATCCACATAACTATGGGTTTATTCCGAGGACTATATGTGAAGATGGTGATCCAATGGATGTCCTCATACTTATGCAGGTTCCTGGTTAACAAGCTTTTTTTTAATAAAACAAAGTCTTAAATCAATCTCTTCACTTGTAAATGTTCCCTTTCCATTTTAGGAGCCTGTTTTACCTAGCACCTTTCTTCGTGCTCGTGCAATTGGATTAATGCCTATGATCGATCAGGTAATAAATATATGGTTAAAGTTATTTCTCTCTCATATGAACAAATCTCAACCATACAATTTTTACCATCTTATTCGACGGGTAAGTCAACTTCGGCCAAGCTTTATAGGACAGAGGGAGTATCTTTTTATAAAATATAAGTAGCAAATATATGTTCTCAAAATGATGAGATTTTAATCAATATACCAACTTATGTTAAAGTTATTTTGGTATCTGGAAAATGCAAGATAATGATTACAGGGAGGTGGGCATAGTTCAAAGGAAATAAAATTTGTGGAAATACAATTAAAACTGGTTCAAACATAATAAACTAGCTTTAGGTATTTGTTCAAACTTGTATTATTTATACATTTCTATTAAGTACAGCGGTATAGACTACAAATAATAAATATATACTCCCTTCGTCCATTATAATTTTGTGATCTTTTCTTTTTTGGTTGTCACTAAGCTGCGACTTTCCCTTTTAATCAATTAATTTGTGGTTCATATTATTTCTCTCTCCTCTGCTCAAACCTCAACCACACATTTTTACTTTATTATTCCATGTTCCGGTCAAACTGGAAAGTTACAAGGGACAGAGGGAGTATATATGTAAATTTTTAAAAACTTTTAATCAAATTTGGTTTTCCTTGGTACTTTCTTAGCTAAATAGCATATAAATACTATTTTTCTCTTTATTTTATTTCACTAGCATTTTTTGTGTTCGAAACAAACCCTAAAGGATAAGAGAATTGTTTTACAGGGTGAAAGGGATGACAAGATAATAGCAGTGTGTGCTGATGATCCTGAGTTTCGTCATTATAATGACATCAAAGAACTTCCTCCACACCGTCTTGCTGAAATCCGGCGGTTTTTTGAGGACTGTATCCCCACTACATTTTACCCCCTATCATTTTTTTTTAATTTATTTTATTTTATTTTATTTTTATGGCATTTATTGTGACACTTGTTGATATATTTACTTGGCACGTGCACTTGTCACAGTAACTATGTTACTATGAGCTAAAAGTTTGGGATTTGCCTTTGTTCATAGATATCAGATGTTATTATTTCACATCCAATGTGTGTATGAGAAATGAGAATCCTTTAACATTAGCATAAAACAGACAAGAAGAATGAGAACAAATCTGTGGCAGTGGAAGACTTCTTGCCTGCTGAAGCTGCAGTTGATGCTATTAAATACTCCATGTAAGTTGATGCCCAATTGCAATCTGTCTCCATCAATGCTTCAGGGCAACGGCAGTTTGGGCCCTTGCCTTTGATTGCCAACCTTTTGTTACATAAATGAATTACAAAGTAGAGGTGAGCACAGTTCTGGTTCTTGGACATGGACAGTTCAGCCTTTTGTCCTATCCAATGACCCAGAACGAGTAACTAACATACGCGGATATGCCGGTCCTGTTTCGGTTCCTGGGAACTGGACCTTTTGCAAGCCTAATACAATGTTTGTTGCCCTAACTTTTCATGTGCTTTTTTTAACTCAGGGATTTGTATGCTTCTTACATTGTGGAGAGCTTGAGGCAATGATCCAATTGCAGGCCTGGTTGAGGTTTTGCACCTTTAGGGCAATCCCTGGGCCGAACAAATGTCTGAACTTATGTTGTGGTAAAAAGAAATATATAGAACTTCTGGTATAAAGACCAAAACATTGCGTTATCAAGCAGGTCTGAGTTAGGCCCTAGAGAGAAAACGCTAGAAATAATCTGTGGTTCTATACATCATTTTAGCTGCTGTTGCTGCTAGTAAACTCTTTTTAATATGGAGTACATGTTTAACAAAATCAAGAAAGATCCTTCTTTAAAAGAAATTATTTTGAAAATTAATTTTGTCAAAAGTAAAAAGCAAAATTTATAAATATGATACACCTTGTTAAATCAAATTCGTGTAAGTGTGATTAGTGACTAATAAAGCTATGTGTTCCACTTCATTAATATGAATAAGTTATATATTGGTGTACTATGGCCATTTTACCTTCACCTTGTCAAAGTTCTTTTTTGACAGAACCTTATCAAAGTTATTAAGCTGTATTCAATAATATATAACTTGTGTTTTTTGCAGAGGGGGTGAGTATATGATTTAAAAGAAATTACGGAATAATACCTTTAATTGTGTTACGTTTCTTTGTTATTATTACATGTCCTACTATTTAATTCTTGTAACGATCATTACTAAAAAAGGTCATCTTATTCTCTGAAAAATTGCTGATTGTGCAAATTTTTTTTTGTGCTTTACTGTGTGTTCTCAGAAATGCAAAACCAGAGATAAACTCATCTATCATCAGAAATGCAAAAATGGTCTTCTTTATGCTGATTGGTGACATAAAACTTGTACATATTCATTATACAAAAGGTTTTTTCTTTTGTAATTAGAACTTAAGAGAGATATGTTTTTTAATGAAAGACCATAGGTTCTTAAATACGTAGTCGGCAGTACTAGGTAATATACAAGCCATTTTGAAATAATTTCTAATTATACGATCAAAATGAACATAATGGATAAAAAATGTAATTAAGTGACTTTTAGAAGCGGGTTTGTTCGTCTTTTCTTATAATTATTGCTTACTTGCATTTTATTCTGTTCAAATAATTTTTTTATAGCTTAGGTCAGATGAAAAAGATTTAGATTAGATCATATCAAATCAAAAATATTCATAGCCTGTTTTGGGATCCTTTTTTTGGCTTATCAGGTTTATTAGCCAACTTTTTCATTAAACACATAACTTTAGATTATGTGTGATGAATTGTATAATAAAAAAAAGTAAGGTTGGAATTGTTTTCTTGACTATATTGATTGAAGTTACTTTAGAGAACCATTTTAGCTATTTTTCATATAATTTTTTATTTATTTTATTAATACAATATGTTTTAAATATAAAGAATTTCATAAATTTCAGCAGAATATTCTGAATAAGGCAATTTCAGTGCTTCCAAACTAGTTCTCAGATCAGAAATATTTAGATCATATAAAAAAAGTTCAATAACGATTTATCGCTTTTATTACAACAACAATAATTATATAAATAGTATTATTTATATAAATAGTACTAATATTAATAAAAAAAATCAATCAAGTCAGATCCGAAAGATTCGGATAATCAGATCAGTTCATATTGAAAAGATTTAGATAAGATAAGATTTTTAAAAATTCATATGAGAAATGATCAAGTGAACAGAACAACTTCTTACTTTCTTAGTTATTATAGTTGTATTTAAATTTTACATCATGGATTCATAGTGATCGCAAAAATATATTCAAATTTTTTGTATATTTAATAATATCGTATTTTAGAAAAACTCTCATCCTTATTTATTAAACTCTTGAATGATAAGTGTTTGTCAAAAAAACTCTCAAGTGATAAGTTAAGTGTCAAGTGCACCGAAAAAATCACATACTTAGTAATTCGTAAATATCTCATCTCTCTCATATACGGTACTAGTGGGATGGACTGAACCGGGCCAAACCGGCCCGTGAACTGGACCGGCTTGCTACTGTGCAGGCCCGGACCGGACCAGGATCGGATGGCCGGTTCCGGGCTTTTAGCCCGTGTGGGCGGATCTGGCGGGCCGGGCTCGGGCCCTCTTCTAGTTGAATCGGGGGGGGGGGGGGGGGGGGGGGGCAGTTCGGGTTGGGCCCGTTTTTTTTCTTGATTTTTTCAATTTTTTTCTTTTCCTTGGGTAGGGCTGGGTGTTTTGGGGGAGGTTTGAGGGGGGGGGGGGGGGGTCGGGGGATAATTAGAAAGCAAAAAAAAAAAATTACATAGACCCGGACCCGGCCCGGACCCGGTATCAACCCGGGCCGGTTCCTGGCCGATTCCAGGCCCAACAATTTGGAAAAAAGCCCGCTCGGGCTCGGCCCGGAACCAGAACCGGACCGGCCTGGGTCCATCCCTAGGTACTACCGAGTACGGGCTACTATATTTATAAGTACGTCCAATTTTATTTTACCTCAACATTTAAATTTCTCATTGAAAACAACACTATTATCTAGACATCAATTAAATAAAATTACTTAAGCATATTTTTTTTGATCCTACTTAAGCATATTTTGAGAAGTATTCCTTTGTATAATAAGAATTCATTAATAATAACTGTGATACGTATGGGGTGTATTGAATATGGATTGTGATGAACTTTTTTTAATCTACGGACTTTTAAAAAAGTCAATGTACTATTAAATTCATAGACTTTTTTATGAATGAATTCTATGGACTTTTAAATCCATGGATAAGTTTATTAATTTTCATAAAGTCCATAGACTTTTAAATCCTAGTAGATCACGACACCTAACGATCTGCTTGTCCGCCTCCGTCACCGGAGTTCCTCGTTGTCGTCATCGGATTGATATGCCACCATAGAATTTTGGCTTTGGTTATGTAAGAAAACTAGGAGCAATTAATTATATTAATTAATTAAATTATGGGTGAATATGCAATATTTAGTCATATTTAAGAAAAATCACACATATGATCATACTTTAAGAAAAATGCTATGTTCTAGTCGTACTGTTGGGATATTGACCCGGAGGCCCAATACCCGGATTAAAAAGGCCCAGAATATCCAGCCCAAACAACGAGTCCATTACCCTATAATGAGTAGGCCCAGTGAAGAATCCATACCGAACGAGGTTCAGTCCGAGTAGAGGCCGGCCCAGAAAACAGAAATACCGAACGGAGTTCGGATCATACATCATACTTGGGCCAATTTGGCAGCGTCTTCCGCATGGTCCAGCATCCCGTTCGAGCAACGGGCAACCAGCAAGTGGCCAGGTGCAATTAATGCCAGATTGTGACATCACCAAATGGAAACATGAGTGATCAAGTCGGTGAAACAACAGCCAATCAGCATAGAGCAGCCCATGCTCTCCATTAGTATAAATAGAAGGTTTAATATCATTGTAAGGGTTAGCATTTTGATACTCAGGCCCTAGAATAGCATTATTACTCTCGTTTCTTGTATTGAAAGCATAGTCTCGATGTACCGATCGGGAAGTTTCCTTGTAATCAAACAGGTTAATTAATACAAGTGGGCTTTTGAGTATTCGTTGATTCATCTTTTATATTTTGTTATACACTTCGATTCTGATCCATTCCTGATATATCTAAAGTTCGTGTTGGGCTTTCGGATCTGCGGGACATAACCTCAACATTGGCGCCGTCTGTGGGAAACATTCAAAAAGTTTCACATCAATTATCCAAAACAACTATTTTTGAAAATGGTCAGAATCAGTTCTTATCACACAAATGATGGTTCGCGCCGTCACGGAAGGAGTCAAACTCCGAGAAACCAAAACCCTCAGGGACAATCCAGCCGAGGATCATATCCTCATTATGGTGGGGACTTTGTCATTCCTGAAGCCCTAAGGAGGAATCCTCAGGCCATGCGAGATATGGCCCAGGTCATGCAGCACATGGCAAACGAGGAAGAAGGAGGATCGAATTTCACAGAGGAGACTCCCCACACAGAAACAACCACGACGTCATCCCACTCACGGGCCCATCGGGATAATCGACGTGGCACTCCAACAGCAGCGCATCGTATTCCCAGTGACCGGACCCCGATCGGGTCACAAGTCAGAGGACCTACTCCTATTGACCGTCATTTCCAGCATGCCGAATGGAATTATACTAGGGCCACGCAGAGGCACTGGGATCAGGAGTATGCAGATTTGAGGACTCCACCACCGCCCCCTTTGATGGCCCAGGAGAAAGAAATGGCCGAAATGAGGAGGCAGATGAATGAAATGAGAGATCAGATGAATAGGGCGCCCGTACAACCTGCTCCGATCCAGCTCGGGATCACTTCCCCTTTCACCAGGGAAATTATGTATGCGGATATCCAGGGAGGTGCCAAATCACCGACCGGTCAGATTTATGATGGGGTAGGCGATCCCCAGATCCATTTAAGGAGTTATCAAGGAGGACTCATGCTACTAGGAGCGCCCGAGGCTACCATCTGCCGATTGTTCTTCAGTACGCTCAGAGGACCCGCTCAAGAATGGTTCAGGACCCTGCAACCTGGGTCGATCAGCAGTTTTGCCGAACTATCAACGTTGTTCTTGGCCCAATTTGCCTCCAGTGCCAACCCAAAGCGGCATTTCAGCTACCTGACTAGCGTAAAGCAGAACTCCAAGGAGACCCTCAATCAATTCTTGAAAAGGTGGAGGGACGAAACTCTGACGGATGACACCGCCATCACCCTATTCATTAACGCTCTCCGAACGGGAGAATTATACAAGGATTTGAAGAAGTATCCGGGTACGACGTATGCCGAGGTGTTAGACAGAGCCCACAAGCATGTTGCCCTGGAAGAAGAGATTATGATCAGGGACAAGGTCGCTGCGCCTTCTGCCCCAATCAAGATGGCCGATCGGCTGGGTCCTACCCCAGTGGCCGCTCTCCCTCCTAAGCAAGGGTGATTTACTCCCCTGGTCCTGTCCGTGGTAACCATTTATCAGAACGAGAAGGACAACATTCCCCTTCCGACTGTTTCTTCAAAATTATATGGGAGCAGATGAGTCTGCTTTTTGTAAATATCATAACAGGAAAGGTCACGCCACCAACGCTTGAAGGGCACTACAAACGGCCATTGAGGACTTGATCCGGCGGGGTCATCTGGGCAAGTACGTAAGTAAAGACCCAAGTGCGGTAGGCACTTTAAAGCCGATCAGGAAACCCAACAGCTGGCGACGAGATGCCCAACGTGATGCCCAGCCCTCAGGGACGAACCAGAGGGCTCGGGAGGCCCCAGAAAGAAACCTCGAATGGAGGTCAAAGTTATATTTGGTGGCGGGGAAACAGGGGATTCGAACGCTGAACGAAAAAGGTTCGAGCGAAGTCTTTATGTAGGATCCATCTCCACTCCCCCCAGAAGAAAGGAAGGACGAACCCAATCACATTTGGGCCGGCTGATTTACCTAACTCGCCAAGCCTGTACAAGGATGAATTGGTGGTGAGCATTGGCATTGACAATGCTTTGATTCGTCGGGTACTGATCGATATGGGGAGCAGTGTGAACATATTGTATTTACAATCATTCGAGAAAATGGGCCTACAGAGAAGTCAACTGACCCACCTAAGAACCCCACTGGCAAGCTTCACCGGTAACTGTATTGAGGCTGAGGGGACCGTTCAATTGTTAGTTGAAATTGGGGACGAAACGCACAAGGCATCACTCCGAATGACGTTCGTGGTGGTGGACATAAAATGTGCCCATAATGCCATCTTGGGCCGACCGGGATTGGAAGATCTGGAGGCAATAGCCTCTGTCCGCCACTCGTGCATCAAATTCCCCACGGACACTGGGGTTGGGGTGGCCAGAACTGATCCGGCAACAGCTCGAACGTGCTACCGAGAGGCTCTGAAGCAGATGAATACCCGTGGAATGCGGGTTAACAGTATTGAGGTAGAAACCCACCGAACGGATTTCGAGGCGCATCCAGAACCTGCCACTCTCCTCGAGCAAATTGATCTGGACTCCCCCCCGAACCGAAAGGTAGCTATCGGGGTGGATCTGGAGGCTGACATTCGGGATGGTGTGATTGCCGTCCTAAAAAAGTTTCAGGTATTATTCACCCGAGGACCGGAAGATATGTCGGGCATTGACCCAGAGATAATCTGTCACAAGCTTGCCGTTCGGCCTGACGCAAAACCGTTCCAACAAAAGAAACGATACCAAGCGACCGAACGACGGGATTTCACAAAGCAGGAAGTGGCCACATTGCTGAGAATAAAACACACCTGTCCGGTAATCCATGTCGAATGGCTATCCAATGTGGTCCTACCCTCAAAAAAATCGACTTGGAGGATGTGCGTGGATTACTCGGATCTGAATAAAGCTTGTCCCATGGACCCTTATCCGGTGCCGAGGATCGATCTGTTAGTGGATGAAACGGCCGGGTGTGGATTGTTGAGCTTCATGGATGCATTCCGGGGATATCATCAGATTTTCATGCACCCAGACGATGCAGAGAAAACAACGTTCGTTACTTCGGATGGTGTGTTTTGCTATATTGTCATGCCATTCGGGTTAAAGAACGCAATGGCTACGTTTCAAAGGATGATCGGGATGCTTTTCAAAGAGGTGTTGGGGGTCACAATGGAGGCTTATGTTGATGATATCCTGATCAAGAGCCGGAAGAAGGAGAATCATATCCTGGACATAAAAAAGGTGTTCGGGATAATGCAGAAAGCAAACATGAGACTGAATCCCAAAAAATGTGCTTTTGCTGTGAGAGAGGGCAAGTTTTTGGGATACATGATGAGCGAGAAGGGGATTGAGCCTAATCCTGAGAAGATAAAGGCAATTTTTGATATGGAAGCTCCTAGAAACCTCAAGGAGGTGCAGAGATTGACAGGTCGGTTAGCAGCCCTGAGCAGATTCCTATCCAAGCTAGCCGATCGAGCTATTCCATTCTTCCAGATCATGAAAAAAGCCAATCCCTTTGAATGGACCGCCGAATGTCAAACGGCCTTTGAAGATTTCAAGGCATACCTATCTTCTCCCCTGGTCTTGACAAAACCCGATCCAGGGGAACACCTGTATATGTACCTTGCTGTAGCTGACCTGGCCGTGAGCACGGTATTATTGAAAGAAGAGGATGGCATCCAGCAGCCGATCTATTTTGTAAGCAAGGCTTTGAACGGGCCGGAAACCAGGTACACCTTACTGGAGAAAACAGTACTGGCCCTGATAGCTGCTATTAAACGTCTAGCACCATATTTCCAGACCCATCCGATAACTGTGTATACTACTCAGCCACTCACCACCATCTTGAGAAACCCAATGGCAAGTGGGCGCATTACAAAGTGAAGTCTCCTGATCGGGCAATATGAGGTGGATTTCAGGCCTCGACCTACTATCAAAGGGCAGGCCCTGGCGGATTTCATTGCAGAATGTACCGCTCGGCCTTCGGAAATAGATTGAGAGAACAATGTGCTGGATAGCTGGTGGGAGATGTATGTGGATGGTGCAGCTAGTGCCAAGGGTTGTGGAGCCGGAGCTGTGATCACATCGCCCGAAGGGTTCAAAGCATATTACTCCATTCATTTTGACTTCAAAGTAACCAACACTGAGGCCTAGTATGAGGACCTTATTGCGGGTTTAAAATATGCGAAGACCATGGGCGCCGATCGGTTAAAAGTCTGGTCGGATAGTCAATTGGTGGTAAATCAGGTAAATGGCACAGCTGAGGCTAAAGAGGAAAGAATGAAGGCCTACAAAGAGCTAGTCGAGGAGCAGATAAACAAATTTGAACAGGTGGTGCTCGACCAAATATCCAAAATAGAAAATACCGAAGCAGACATCTTATCTAAATTGGAAAATGCAGCGCTCGACGATCGGGCACAGGAGATTCCATCTCATATCCAACGGTTTGCCCATCGGGAAACCTTGGCAACCCGAGCAATCATGGTGCTCCAGATCGAGGCCATATCTTATACCGTCCCCAGTTGGGTCATAGATATGACCAACTACCTAAAAGACGGAACCCTCCCACAAGATAAAAATCCCGCTAATCAGATAAAATGCATTCAGAGGAGGGCTTCCATGTTCGAGCTGGTGGACGGACAGTTGTACAAAAAGACGTTTGGGGGGCCATATTTGAAATGCCTCCCACCCGATCTAGCGGCGACGGTAATGGAAGAAATTCATGAAGGCATCTGCTCAAGCCACCAAGGGCCCAAGACACTGGCCAGAAAAATCATCCTGCAAGGGTATTATTGGCCAACCATCCAACAAGACTGCTTTGCGCATACTAGAAAATGTAAAGTATGCCACCTATACGCCACTTTCTACATTCCAATGACGGTGGCCCTCCCATTCGCTAGGTGGGGGATCGACCTGCTAGGTCCCCTACCTTCTGCCCCTGGGAACAACAAGTACATCATCGTTGGGATAGATTATTTCACCAAATGGGTGGAGGCCGAGCCACTGGCTAGCATCACAGATGTCAAATGTCAAAAGTT